AGAGAGGGACAGTGACTCCAAGGTGAGTAAGGTATGTATATAGGCTCCTTCTAGCTCCTCTTAGTGCTCTTGTTCCAGTTCCATAAGGTCCTTTAGTAGAACTAACCTTTCTCCTCTCAGACTATCCAGCACATTCAGCTTTCATTGTGATGGCTAGAGGACTGACTGCCAGTAGGATCCCAGGCAATGTGGCTTACCCAGAGACATTGGAGAACAGTCAGTTAGACACTGCTGGCCAGGTAGCCCCATGGACTCTCTAATTCAGTTACAAGTCTCCAGGCAGGGGCAAAAGGGAAGGCTCAGTGGTTAAAAGTGGACACTAATCTTCCAGAGGATCCAGGTGTGGTCCTCAGCAGCCACACTGCCTTACTCACAACTGCATTTAAGTGTAGTTCCAGGGGATCCAATGCCTCTAGCCACTGTGGGCACCTGCACTTGTGTATATAGCCACACACATACATAATTTAGATAAGTAAGTGAAAAATATTTAGTTAAACTGAGTCTGGTGATAGAGGCCTCCAATCTCAGCTACCTGGGAGGCTGAAGCAATCCTCCAGTTGAAAGTTGGAGGCCAGACTGGGCAACTTAGTAAGATCCTATCTCAAAATGAAAAATAAAAAGAAGGCTGGGGACTGGGAATGTAACTCAGTTGGTGGAGCAATTCCCTTAGCATACATAAAGTCTTGGAGTTATATTTAGCGTCTGGGGTTGTGGTGGCACACACCAGGTATCCCTGCACCTGGGAAGTGGAGGTAGGAGGATCAGGGGTTTAAGGCCAGCCTGAGCTAAATAATGCTTTGCCTCAAAACAAAACAAACGAACAAAAAACTCAAACAAAAAACCTACTGAGTATGTGAACATGTAGCTCAGCGACAGAACACTTCCCTAGAATGTTTGAGGCTTTGGGTTCAATCTCTAATACTATTAAAAACGTCATTATCATCAAGCAAACACATAAATCTCCATCTGCAGCAGGGGAAGAAGGATGCTCAGCTCACTCACAGGCATGCTGGTCCTCTGCATCCCGTTTTGTGCTAGAAGGCAAGTCATCCAGCCCTTTCACTCTTTTCTTTTGCTCCCAAACAACCACCTATCCTTTCTTCCTTCCTCAAGGTGCTGGGGTCAAATTCATGTCCTTTTGCATGTCAAGCAAATGCTCCATCACTAAGCTACATGCCTGGTCCTCACCACACTATTTCTGATTATACTGCAGCTTCTAAGAGATCTAGTCTACAAAAAGAAACACACTAAACAGATAACACAGATTGCTGGTTGGCTCTGTGCTCTCCATCCCTTCCATGTGTGCGCTCATGAATGTGGAGGCCAGAGATTAATGGTGAGTATCTTCCTTAATCACGCTCCACTTTATTTATTTTAAGAGTCTTCCTTCAGGGCTCACAAATTTGGCTAGACTAGCTGGTCGACAAGTCTCTGGGATCCTCTTACCTCTGCCTCCCCAGTGCTGGGATTACAGGCAGGCACTCCAGCACATGGCTTTTTCTGTGGGTGCTAGGGATCAAGCTCAGGTCCTTAGTTCATGCAGAAATCACTTTACCAACTGAGCCACGTCCCCTACACCTCTCCTAATTGAAAACTAGAAATTAGTATTCTGGACCTAGCCAGAGATTAAAGGCAAAGTTCTAAGTGCAGGTGGACTTGGGGTTGAGTCCCTTGCTTGCTTGGATGCCTCAAAGTGGTTTTAACATCACTGTACTGTAGTTTTCCTCCTGTGTTGAATTTCTGTCTATAGCCAAATACCTATTTTTGGATGATAACATGTCCTCATAAAGTTGAGAGCTTCATGAGACAATGTATCAAAAGATCATGGCAAAGTTTAGCACAGGGCCAGGTGTGTAAAGCAAATTGTAAATATTACTATTGTTATGAGCCTGTGAGTTTCATTAGCATAAATACCTCTCCCCCATAAACCTTCTGGACTTCAAAGGTGACTGTAACTCCAGGATCCTGACAGCAGCTCTGGCACTCCCAAAGGCACCCTGCCACCGGAGGACCAAAGGGTTTTGTCTAAGGAATGAAAATTGGAGCCATCCTCGAGGGGAATGGGAGGGTGCCCTGCCGCGCCATGCTTTTCTTTTACTTTCCTAGTTCCTCTCCCCACAGCCAGAGTGCAGGAAAGCAGGTGGTGGCTGGCCTTCCTGCAGGGCTGCCCAAGTGTGAGGAGGAATGGGTTTGTTATACTGACTCCAAAGCAGAGCAGAGGTGGGGCTGTATGGCTCCTCCCTGTATTAGGTTTGAATTCTAGCCAATGGGGCCCATGCTTTGCAGTTTGCCTAAACCCAGGCCAGAGCTGTTGAGAGAATGATGGATAATGGGTGTGATCACCCCTACTCTATCTCCTCCTTGGGGCCTAGCTGACTTGTGAGGGAATGGCTGACTTATTCGGATGGCAGTGTGCCACTGCATTTTCTGGTAGGCCTCCTCCCTCAATCCCAACATGCTAACTGTCCCTTCTCTTTGTCCCCAGTTACCAGAAACTGGCCCCAGGCAAGCTGATACCATCTCCCCTCCTCTATATTATTTTCCCCGGCCTGTTCATAGGCTCGGTTTTATCCAACACTCTAGAGTTGGGCTTCCTTGGCCGTCCATTTTCCGTGGGCTGCATGGTCTTTGCCAGAAAACTCCTTTTACTTACCTCCCAATCATAGCCCCTGCCAACCACCAATGTCCATCTGTTCCCACCCAGAAAAGAGCAGATAGGACTGGGTTTACACCCCCACCCCCTCCATCTATCCACAGTCACTATAAAGAAAGAGAATAGGGAGGGGGAGGAGGGGCCAACTGAGGCCCAGAAGGCAAAGGGAGAGGGAGAAAGGAAACAAAAGAGAGGACACAGCTCCTGGGAGAAGAGAGAATGGGTAGAGCAGGTTGGAGGTCTCTGCCTGGCAAGCCTCCTCTCTTTGGTGGACTCACCGACGTGGCAATGGCCATGGCTCTAGACTCCAGCGTCGCCTGCTTCAGACCAGGCTCAGTTTCGCTGACTTCAGCGATGGCTGCCCCTCACCATGGTTCCCGGCCTCCAAGCCAGAAGGTCACCCCAAGCTGTGGCTCTTGAGGAGTTGCCTCCCCCAAAGTTGGAGGAAGAGAAAGAAAACCCACAAAACTTTCCAAATGGGAGGCAGCTTGGCCAGACAGGAGGAGGAGTGGGGCGGGCCTGGGCGTCGCTGCGGGACCTCATCCAAAGGGCGCGCTCTAAACTGTCCCCAGGGTCTCTCGGGGGCCACTAGGCCCCCACGGCTGTGGCCTTAGACTGCAGAGGCCTCCTGGACACACATGGGCCCAAAGCTCACGTCCCCGGCCAGCGAGGCGAGGAGGCAGGAGCTGCTGCTGCTTTCGACGCCTCTCCAGGCAGCTCAGGCTAGCCCCGAGGGCTGGGAGAAGCTGCCCGAGTGGTTGGGCTGGATGAACGACTCCTGGGGCCAACCCTCCCCCAGCGGCGCAGAGCGGTGCTCCCAGGGCTGTGGTCGCGGCAGCCGGGGCACTGCGGCGGGACGACCCGCGGGGAAGGAGGAGGAGGAAAAGCGAGAACTGAACTGCGTGTCTCTAAAGTCGCTCAAGTCAGCCAGCGCAAAGGCAGGCCGGCGCCCAAGGCCTCAGAGCGCGTGGCGCCCAGCCGGGCTCTCCCGGCCACACTCCTTCTCAGCACTGCCGGGTTTCCGAGGTGGCCGTCCGGCACTCTCGGTCTCGGCGCCCGTGGGCGCCCGGTCCTGGCTCACGCTCCCCGAACCCGGCCCCCGGCGCGCCCCCAAAGCTTAGGGAAGCTCCTGGTGTCTTGGGGAACGAAGAAAAAGGCCACAGAGCAAAGGGAGCAGTGAAGGGGAGGAGCAATCCTGTGGGCTCGCCTGGGGCCGGGGTGCGGACACTGAGGGCTGGAAGAGGTCCGGGGTCGCGCGTGGCACCGCTCACCCTTTCCCTCCCCTGCCCGGGCTCCCGCTCCCCCTCAGCAAGCTCTCTCTCTCCTCCCCTCGGGCCCACTCCTCTCGCGAGGGGTTCAGTCCAGGGGATTAAGAGAAGAGGGGGAAGGGGGGAGGGGAAGCTGCGGAGAAAGGGGACGATCCTTTCCGAGGCGGTGTTGAGTTTCAGCTCCCGACCCT